TTTCCGGAGTAACTAGCAGTCCAAATTTCGAAGTAAATTATATTTTCCAGATAATCCATCCGGGCCTTAAATTTACGTCGTATTTTATACCTCCGCCCAAAACGGTAAGTACGATATTAAATTATTATTGAAGTAAATCAAGTAAACATCACTGACAAATTTGTGAAGATATTTTTAATAACCGTTAATTCGTTGAAACATAAATAATCAGCAGTCGGAGGCTTTGTAATCAGTTCGTCAACAATTCCAGTCAGTGGAATCTGAGGCATCGAAGAGCTCAGAGTTATTAAAAGGGAAGCTGGAGGGATATCACTGAAAAGTCGCTGAGTCGGCTAACGAGCAGATACCCCAGCGTTGCGTGTGGCGCCCTCCATCTTATGGGGTTGGCTACTACGATGCCCCTGGGGTCACTCAAACCCCCAGAACTGAGCCTCTACTTTCGTCAATCCTCTTTGGTATTTACGTTTCATTTGAATAGGTTTAGGAACGTTTGTTTAGCGCATAATAAAGGTGTCGACGAGGGTGAGGTGAGGAGTACAGTATGAATGTGTGTTGATTTGCCATCATCTTGATTTGATTTCTGCCGTATTTTCGAAGATTCATTATGAGTAAAGTGAACCACTTTAGCCTTAGCTGAATTGCCTTGAAACATAATTGAAAATCATAAATACAAAAATGGACGATAAAATACGACAAATGGAGGACGAAATGAGCAGGTACGTCAACATTGACCTAACCTTTTTCTATTTATCAAAATATTCATAAAATATATTCATTTATTAAAAAAATACAATATGTGACTGCAGGTTCGAAGCTGAAATTGGTGGTCCAATAGTGACACCAATGATGCGACCGGTTATTGGTGCTAATACATACAGCCAAGTTGCTAGACAATTGGAACAGCATGATTTACCTGCGCCTGTTGTTGCAGCAGCTGCTGCTAGTTTAGCATTTCCTCCTATGATGGGATTTCCACCACCACCACCACCACCTCCGCCTCTGCTTATTCCACCACAAGTGGCACGTCAGAGTGAGTTATCTTAAATTATCAAAATTATTTTATAATCTAGACAATCTTGCATTTTTCTATTCTTATCCCATTGGAAATTGTTTCTTCTTTATCTCAACATGACCGAAAATGTATATTTTTAAAAAATATTTGGAAAGTAAAACTTTAAAAATCATAGTATATCGAAGAACATTACCGCTTACCTAACAAAGAAAGTGTATTTGATAAAAAATATGTTCCACTCGTTGATGATTTGTTTCAGACAGCGTTCCAATCACTACCTATTCATCACCAGCTCAAATAAGCAATTCTTACATACCAAACATTGGGGAACCGATAGCAATAAGTTCAACGCCGAAGACTTATGAATCATCAGCAACACCAATGATTCATCCTGAAATTATTGAAAAAATCATAAACACAAAAATACCAGACGATGAAGGTAAAAAAAAGCCGAAAGTGAAGGGTGTAAGTACAGCAGCAGAATTGGCTATTAGTCAAGGGAAAGCCAGTTCGATAATGGCCAACGCTAGTGCTGAAGAGCCTCATCCAAAAGGAAAAGGCAAAAAGAATAAGAAAATTATTAGAATGGCTGGAGGACAAACATGGGAGGATCAGTCTCTACTTGAATGGGATGATGGTTAGTTATTTACTTTCGTCTCGTTAGTTAAAGATTTTTAAAGATTAAGATTATTAAAGTTTTATAACAAACATCCTTACAATAAACATGACGATGAAGACTGTGAATGTGATGAAAATACATGGCATTATCATTTTCAGATGACTTCAGAATTTTCTGCGGTGATTTGGGGAATGATGTAACGGATGAAATGTTAGTGAGAGTGTTTGGAAAATATCCCAGTTTTCAAAAAGCTAAAGTCGTTAGAGATAAACGTACGAACAAAACTAAAGGATTTGGTTTCGTATCGTTTAAGGATCCACAGGATTTCATCAAGGCAATGAAAGAAATGAATGGTAAGGCCAGCAAATTTATATAATTCAATAAATTTATATTTAAGTGCAGGCTTTAATTTTCTACGAGTGAATAGTTTATAACAGTCGTGTCTGCATAAATTTACACGGAAAAATAATAAATCACAAAAATTGACAGGAAGTGGTTTGTGGAATCTATAACTAGATTTTATCTAACATTTACTGTCCATTGCATTATTAGGGCCTAATGAGATCAATCTTCAACCAATATGACAAATAATTGATCTTTATTTCCCAAATGGCCCCCAACCGTAGGATATAAATAGTTGGGGTATTATTGAATACTGTCTTCGTGTCGATGATGTACCATTTCTCACAGTTACTCGATTATTTTGTTGTTTTGAAGTAGTCGCGTGAACGTCCGCTAACTTCTTAGGTAACTCACTAGGTTTTTTTGGTGTATCTGTAAAAAAAAATACATTAACGCCCCGATTAAAACATATTTCCGTAAAATAGTATTTTTTCACGCCTAGGACGGAAAAAGGGAATCTGACGAATGCGACTTTATAGCCCGAGTCGGAGACGAGGATTATAATGCGCATGAGTCAGAATCACTTTTTTCGCCGTGGCTATGATGATATTTTATCTCATTGTGGCCGTAAACGCGTTTTTATCTGAGCGAAGCGAGGTTAGAAACGCGTTTTACCGGCCGCAATGACATAAAGTCACTTTTTTACATTAATATTTTAAAAAGATGAAAAACAAATTCTTAATCGGTTAGTCATCTTTAGAGCATCACCTGGAGTAGGATGGCTCATTCGTGTTCCATGTGGATTCATGTAGAGAACGGAAAATGGCATACCACCAGCACCCCAACTCCGCGCATTAAATGCATCTTTTTTAACCGGTTTATTACTTGGAATTCTCCGAAGTACTGACAACATTGATCTTGCGTCTTCGACTACTCCTTTAACAATCGGAGATTTCAGGGGAGCATCTGCTTCTGTTTCGGAATTTTGTTGAAATCTAATTGAATTAATTAAAAAAGTATTAAACATAACTCGACGATTATCAGATAATTACAATCGAATTCATTCAATTGTTCACATGATTTTCTATTATTAGTACTCATCACCAGTACTTGAATTCACGGTTGAAAATTGATAAATAATTGTGCTCACCATTGAAATTTAACTCGGAGTCGCTCAATAGAAACAATACTATCTACGTGATCATCAGACATTCAATGACAAATGAAAAGAATAAAAATACGAAAAAATCATTTCTTACAAGTGAATGACAACCATAGTCTTGAACTCATGGACTTTATCTATAAATAACTAAGCTGTCGAACACGAAAATAGACGAAGAAAAAGGAATGAAAGTTATCAATCATAGCCAAGTTTATGCAGCACATTGCAAAAAAAAAAAATGTTATCGTCAAACGATTTTTCAATTTTCATAATCCACGTGAACTATGCTATTATTATATTATAAAGATTATGTAAACTAATGGAATTTATCGATAAACGTTACGTACGTTGAGATGTTGAAATTATCATGGCGACGATGAGCATTTAACTTTTGGGGTCCGTTAGTCCGATTGCGACCTGTTGACAACCAACCCCAACATCCGCCGTTGGAAGTGCATGATGAAGTAATCATAGGCATAAATTCAGAATCCTTTACATCTGACGATGAATGGTACGATTGCATTTCATAAATGGGCAGACCACAAGACGATGATAGCATTATGATTTCCATCAAGAACATTCTTATAACAATTTTCATGGCCGTTGTCCAATTGATTTTCTGAATTCCAACGAAAAGATTTCCAACGAATATTCGTGTCGTTCTCCTGTACAATTAATGAATGGTTCCACAATAATTTTTAATTGGGTTGGATTTCACTCTTTCATTAATTTGTCACAGATCAATAAATTGAATCAACCCCATCGTTCTGTTTACGTTACAAAGAATTTCACGAACGCGTACGACTATTTATATAAAAAATTCTGATATATTTAGCACTCGTACCGGATGAATCAGAGTAGTGAGAGGGGTATGTGCGTGGGTGAAGAAAACCAAATTATGGCCGTGAGAAAAAAAATTAACACAAAATTATTTGCCCTATTGGAAATTAGGAAAGTCTTTCATTTTATTATACATTTTCCCCCAAACGACTTCTGACTTCTACGCCCTTTATTTCCTCCATCATCTATAGATCCCCGGAAGGTCGGAGAGAGTAGCATATCCCTCTAAGTGAAATTATATCATTTATCTCCGGTAATCAGAAGTTCGAATACTATAGGGAAGCGTCAATGAATGGCTCACTCGATTATTGGCTCTTGAATTTTCTCCTTTTGCACTTTTTCTCATTTTTTTTCTTTAGTTAATTTCTTGATTATTACCGTATTTGGTATCCAATGAAAAATATATCATTCACATTATAAACTAAGGGTAATTATGTATTATTATTATAACATCAATGATTAGAATGTTCCTTCTTAAGTGTACAAATGTTTTAGAGTTTTACCACTTTTCGGGCGGAAAATTGAACATTTATTTAATTATAAAATTGTTTGAACTTACTGCTTAAAGTTTCCACGCTTATCACTTGAATTATCTGAAGAGTGAATGCGCCACAACGATGGGTATCATTCACCCCCTACTCGATCTCCACAGTGAATACCAGTGGTAGAGCTCCAACATCTCCCCACCATTCATTAATCTGTCGTGACGCTGACCAATCAGATTTTTTTCATCAAAATAAATTACGTTTTCTTCTTTATCCTTCAATAATAATAATAATAACAATATAAATATATATATGGAAAAATGGCGAAGAAACATTCCGGCTTGATCGTTGTCCATCGATAAGCAAGTCCCATTCTCCTATTCAGGGGTCCTTAAAAAATAATATAAAATACATTACGTTTATTTCTGCCTTTTTTTTTATTTTTGACTTTTGGTCTTGTGATTCAGAGGTGGGGAATCCCCGTGGGCAACAAACAAGACAAGAAATAGCCGGTGAGATTTTAAAAGAATCCATATATCTTGCCTGTCTATCTGATGTTACAAATAAAATTAAAAATCCAAGTTAATTCTTTTACAGTTCGCAATTATTTTTTTCCACGAATCGTTCAATACTCATTTACTCATGAAATGATTCATTATCCACTTCCCTTTTCCATTTAATCAAATGGGCTTTATAGTTGATGAACAGTGAGAAATAGTACGAGACATTTTTTTAATGCATAAAACATTGAACGTTCAATTGTATTTTTGCAGGTGAAAAGATTTATTCAATTTATACAGTTATAAATGAGGAAATGCTATTTCATTTTTGGGTATTATTTATGAATTAGGTACACACGTATCGTATGTATGGTTTTATAGTATGGTTTATCTTTATGTTCATTTAATTCGCTGAGTGATTTATTCCCTGGGGAGAAGTCATGGAAATGATGAAAAATTGAACGGATATATAAGCTAACGTTTGAGGAACCTGAAATGTGTTTACTTTGTATCGCATCAATTGGGTGATACCTTGCGTAGCTATGAATTCAGTTACACTACTGATCCAGATTGTAAAAAAAAAACTCATTTTGGAAAGAAAGATTCACTTAATACAAGATTTTTTATGATTCTCATTGTCATATGAACCTGAGTAATCAAATTCCAGTGAATATTCACGAAAACTGACTGCTTTATCATTAACACAACCAATTGAAATTTTATGTGAAAATAAGTCTTTGTTTAAAATTTAAAAATTCTTTTACTACTCTAATAGTGAAAGTCATGTTATATCTAGAATTTTATTTTTTTAACGCTTTGGTAGTATCTTAATATTTTTCATAAAGAGAACAATACTTATGGATGGATGATAGTGAAAGTGTTTCATTATGCAATCGAAATAAGAATAATTTCGGTGTTGGAGATGATGAGTAATCAGAGCAAGAAAATATGAATTTTCCTAATCAAGTAAATTTTATTCACATTCTAATTAGAATTTAACAAGATAATGTTTTCTTGTATTAAGTAAATGTTCCAACTAAAAACTAGTTTCTTTTTTTACTGCATTGCTACTCCTAAAAGGGACAAATCAATTCATTATTTCCGGTGATTGAATGTTTTAAATTATTTTTTACTAGATCCCTTTTCAACAATATCACTCTTTAGCCCCCTTCAATAATTTTTCCTCTTTTTTTTCATTATTTTTTTATAACCATTCGAGTAGCTCCCGCAACGCAAATTTGATCTGAAATTTTAGTGTATTTTAGGCTGAAAAGATAAAATTTAAACAAAAGATGACATTCGATAGATGGTCGGACCTTAATATAAAAATTTTTTCAATTTTTCTAATTAGATTGCTAATTCCATTGTATGGTCATGAATCTCTATGATATTTCTTTTTTTATAGGAAGATACGTTGGCTCGAGACCTATAAAATTACGGAAAAGTTCTTGGAAACAGAGAAATCTTGAAACGGTGCGAAAAAAGGAAAAGGAAAAACAAGCACTTATTGGATTGCTAACTGGTCGGTGAGGTGGTGAGGACGCACCACCATGAAGCAAACAGTAATCAATCTTTCATTCATGAACAAGTGAAGGGAAGAAAGAAAAAAATCATAAATCTAAGGTGGCAGTTCAAGAAAAGTCATCTATTTCCTTTTCTTCAATTATGTTTATTCCGAGAATTATAATGACTGATGAATAAATCGCTGCCAATTGAATTATATTATTATTCGGATGATCTTCCTCTTTTTTTCTTTTGTTTTATGAGAATTATCAGCGCGTCAAAAACTATAATTTAAAGTGAATAGTTCTTTTTTATTCAATAAAAATATGGCAGAAAAGTTACAAGGGGAAGAAGAAGAAGATGTTAACTTGATGGGTGTGAGTTTGTAAAAATATAATGTAATGTAAAATATAATGTTCATTTTTCGATACTATTCCCCACGTTGATGGATAAAATCATTACAATTTGAAGTAACTGACATCGTTATAAAACAAAATTATTATTCGTTAAAACAGGTGTACGAGGGTGAAAGGAATTCAAATGGACTGAGACATGGCAAGGGGAAATATCAATTTCCAAACGGTGATATTTACATAGGTGAATATTGCCGAGGTTCTCGTAATAATCAGGGTGTTTACATATTTAAAAATGGTGCACGTTATGATGGTGAGTGGCGATCTGGCTTAAAATATGGAAGGGGAACATTTCTCTACCCTGATGGAACTCGTTACGAAGGTTAGGTAACATTTTTTTATTAAAAATTGGGAGCATTGAAGGGAAACTAGCAAGCAATAGGATCTATTGACTGAATTGACTGATAAAAAACATTTATTTCTAACTCTTACGCTTCAAAAATGAATAAGGAGAATGGAAGAGAGATGAAAGGTGTGGGTTCGGTGTTTATTATTATTTAAATAAAGACATTTATGAGGGTGCCTGGCGAAATAATCTGCGACACGGACTTGGAAGCTATCATTTCAGTGAATCAAGTGTCAAATTTATGGGAATTTGGATAAACGATGGACTCCAAGGGCCTGGGCACATTATCTACCCACGCTATCATTTTCGGGGAACTTGGAAACATAATTTGGTATTTATTCTAACTTTGTTTATTGTAATGTTCAAAGAACTTATTAATTATTCAATCTTGTTTCCGTTTGTATTTCAACAGCCGTTTGGTCAGGGGTGCTTTACTTTTGAAAATAATTGTATGCAGCATGGGGATTATGTCCACCGCAATTGTGAAGGGGATGTAATGACTCAAGTAAATATAATTTATGTCAGGCGTAAGCAACTCTCGGTGCTCACCTAGCTTCCAATCCCAATTATGCCAATAACTACAAAAAAAGGGGTCCTATTGTATTGTGATGGCAGTCGGAGGGGCAGGACCACGATGTTTGGGTCTGAGTGGGGGTATCGTTGTCAGTCAAAGCGCAAAAATTTGAATTTTTGAATAAAAAATATGAATATTTTTCTTGCTGTATTTTGCATTGTTAAAAAATATCAATTGTTCATTTTCTTCTATATCAACTTCTCCTCTTTTACTTTTCTTAAGCGTTACCCCCATTTCGGTTTATTTCAGCGGAGGAAAAGGCCCAGGTTATAAAGGGCTTTCCTCTACCCTTTGTTATGCACTAATAGAGGTCTGGAGCATGACTTGCTCTCAGAACAGAGGTTGCCCAACCCTGTAAAATTTATATACTGGTAAATGTTATTGATTTCGTGAATAAGGGATTTTGCATTTGGAATTTATGTCATTTACATGTCGGGTATATCAAATGATTGAAGAATAATGAATCACAACTGGGAGATGCATTCTCGTGTATACAATCTGGCGTATCTTCTCTTTGGTGTGCACGCTATATTACTTCATATAATCCTGATCTTCTGCCACTGGAAGCTAAACCGCTCCACGAACAAGTTTGTTATTATTCTTTTACATGAGATAAGTGGACTAAGAATATTCAATTAAATGTCAGCTTTCTTATAATTTTGGAATCATAGCCTTATCATAATTATCAGCAACTAAATTTAACATTTTATCTGAAAGGAAAAGAACTCATCATTGATCGTTCAACTTGAAATATTTTGCTTCATTTGTATTTACTTTGAAGATCTACACTGGTATTTCTTTTGGTATCAATATTAGACTAATCAAGCATTCTGCTTTCAGATGATAGATAACGATTCATTAACTGACGAATGCCACAAAGAGGTATCAAATGTTGAGTCTGACACTTTTTTGCCACTTTCGTCGGAAACTGAAAACGATGCAATTGATTATCAGGAAGAATTTCTTGGTGAAACATAGTTTGGCAGAATTGAACAATCATCTCACTTTCAAAGCATTGATTTATTAAAATTTTATTTTAAAAAATTATAATAATAAATAAATGAAGTAATTTGCACAATACGGTGCTTATTAACTGTCATGATTTCCGTTTTTTTTTGTACAATTAACGGATTTCCAGTCGCCAACAAATGCCTGCCACATCATTAGAATAATATTATCATAAAAAATGAGATATTAATGTTAATTTTTGAATCTAATAGAGCCGCATTATATTATAAATCTAATTGTTCTTATTATTAAGACGGATATATTATTATTATCGTTATTATTATCCGCAGATGATTATTAGACAATTGAGTAGAAGTTAAAGATGACACGTAATGCTTTATCATGTAAGAAATTATTCAAATAATAAAAATCGCTCAATTATCATTACAAAAAAATCATAACATTTTACAATGGCATGAAATTTGAAAATTACAATATCGGTATAAAAGTGACATAACATACGCGGAATGAAGGGTCTCTTATCATTCAAACTGTCGTTAATGTTATAATCATATTATATGTTAACGAATAATGACTTAGGGATATCCAAGTACTACCGATAATTTTTTGTGGATAAAATCCCTGGATCAATCAGGCAATATAGAACAGGCCCAATTTTTATTTTCAACACAATTACAAACCGAGGTACTTATTTAAGCATTTGTTTCAGAAAATCATTTTTGAAAAAGAAAATTTAACGTCTAGTTTTCATAAGTTGGCCAACTTAGAGCGTTTTTTCGCACATTCAACCATATATGATATCGTTCGTTAGATTCTCTAGTGTTTTTAAGACATGAAAATAAACGGGTGTCAGAACAAATAATTAATGAAGAAAAGTTGAATGGAAAATCTCTACATTCGGCTGGCGGTCATAGTGGATGGAACACATGCACAAGGTTGCAATTATCAGAGTTTAGATCAACAAGGGTCGTGTACAAAATTTAAAAAATATAGGTAACAATATTCCTTAGATAAATTGTTGAAAAAAAAATTATTTAGCAATTAAAAATGAGACAAGATGAGGAAATAGTAAAATTTAGGGAAACATTCAAATTTTATAGGAAAAAAAATCGCTACTCTGAGCAAAATACTTGGATATCCTTAAGCCTACAAAATATTTATAGATAATACACATCACTTTCAGAAGTAGCTGGTCTATCATAGATGAGCAAAAAAAAGGATTGGTTAATTAAGGACGGAAACCAACTTGAGATAAATCTATTTTTGAAACTGTGACGTGACAACGCAGTCTTTTCGTTGATACTTAAAAAAATCGATGCTATTTACGATATTTTTTCATTCTGTTACTTGACAAATGAAACTCATATCGTATTGATTAAAAAAATAAGAGGAATCTGCATCATTTCGTATTTTTATATTTACATTCTTACGTTTCAAATTGAGTTTTGTAATTAATGTCACTTTGACGTCCTAGCACTTCCTATGTACAAGAATTCCTTACTTTTGGCATGGCACAAATAATTGTTTTGCAGACTTTTCCATCACTTTTGAGTTAATAATTCCGCAGTATGATTTAATACATAACTCGCTGATCTGTGTATCATTTACGCTTTTTTAGCATCCTCCAATGGTGAAAAATTAGTGAGCGCATAATTGAAATATCAGGGCAAAGTCCAAGTTTCACATTGCCACAAGACTATCAGGTGGCCTTCTTTGGAAAGCAATACTTGCCAAGGAGATACTGCATAGACCAGCAGTTATGACGCCGAGACAAATGTAAACAGCCGTTATCAGCCAAAATGCGAATAGATATAGAGTTTTATTACAATGTTTTCCATTTGCTGGATCATAATTTGGCTCATACTCCTTATACACCCACATAGAACCTGTTTTTTATATAATCAAATTATTATTACGAATTGAAGATAATTCACGAGTTTTTAATGAAAATTAAATGCCAGTTTAAAAACTTGATTAAATTTTTGGGTAAAATTGAATTTCAAAATTAAATATTATATCCTTATTTTTTTGTTGAATTAGCAATCAAGTGGTCAATCAAGTGGTCGAAGTCAATTAATGCGACTGTTTTTAGAAATAAATTTATCACTAAAATGACTGCTAAATGATTTAATTCTGATTTAACAGGCTGTTTGAAGCTAATAACTGATTTAATGAATTTTTTCAAATACATACCAATGATAAACCAACCGAGCATAAAACAATTGATCAATGTTTGTGTTGGTGATTGGCGTATCCTTTCTTCATCTCTTTCTTCAGGTCGTCTACGTACACGTGTTGAGAGATGCAGCAATTGTTTAAATACCCCGAAACCACCACCAACTAACAAGTAAACGGGAATGTATTCTCCTTGGGGGCAGTCGTACAGATAAATTCCACCCATTATCATCATGCATACTGGCACTACTATTGTCACACCTATGATGAATGTACAACCAACTGAAAAAAAAAATTTTATTGCACTTTCTTTCGTCTTTTTTATGGCGCCTATACTTTCACACCGTTCAATCAACTGTCACTCGGAACTACTTTTGCCTTTTTTTCTTCAAAATATATGAGAATAATATAAACGATCAAGAATATAAGAGAGAAAGTTGACTGTGAAATTTCTTTATCTCTCATATCCTTCGATTTTTAATATAACCGCTTCCTTGTTCTAAATAGAGGAACAGTATTTCATTGAATAAATAAATACAGAACTTACTGGTTCCAAGGAGAAGTACAATAATATTGAGCAGAAAATCAACAACCCCTTTGGATGTTTTGTGGGCCTCACGCATTCGTCCAAATAATGAATCATAAGAAGGTGGTGGTGCTAAAATTGATGAATAGATGAAATTTTATTAATAATTGAAGTATTATTAGGTAATTATTGAATAATTTTCGATGAAATTTCACCATTTGGATCAATGACTTCCTCGTAAGAAGGTGGTGCGCCTCTATCTCCAATTAAATTGGCAGGATGTCCAAGCGGTAGATTAATATTATGATAAGAAGGCGGTGGTGTACAACTTATTGGAACAATTTGTGGTGGAATTGCAGGATTAACACCACTCATACCTTCATGTGGTAATCTATGAGGCATTGCATAGAGTGGCATTCTCCCAAATAAAAATCACACAAGCTGGTTATTATCAATTTACTAATTATTATTATTCAATTATTAAATTTTCCCGTCTCAGATATATCGCATATGTCACGATTTAATTAACACGATTTTCTTGTATAAAAAATCAATTATAGACCAGATTATTCAATTCTATTAATAGTTGGTAAATAATTATAGCTTAATTTGTTGAATTTGTTCAGTTGTGAATTCATTGTTTATTAATATTGATTTTTTTTTACATGATTAAAAATGTCACACCATATCAGGCATAAATTTGTGGCAATTTGCACTTGCACTCTTTTTCTCCAAAAATGTATCATTATACATTCACTTTGATTTTATCATTCATTCATTTTCAGAAATTTTATCGTTGATGAGTAAGAACAGAGAGGACACATTTGGTGACACAGAGTTTTTTTTTCGTTTTTAGATTATTTATAATTCACTTAATCAGTGCGGGGAATGATTTTTTACAT